AACATGTTTTATCTTCCTCGCCACCTGCCATTGTCTCCTCACCTCCAGCTCTGATCTCTTCAACCTCCCTGGTCTTTCTCAAACTCACCAAACCAGTGCGGAAACTTGATGTTCAGATTCATCTCCCAACTCAAACACACTCCTCACTGGTTGTCTTAGTTCCATCACCCATAAGCTCCAGCTGGTACAAAACTCCACCACCTGCATACTCATCCATACTAATCTACATTTGCCCTTCACCCAGTCATTACCCAGCTCCACTGGCCCTCTGTCATCCAACAGATCAACATCAAGGTCCTCACCTATAAATCCCTTCAGATCCCAGTACCTCCCTATCTCCAAGATCATCTCCTACCTCATTCTTCTGCTCGCTTCCTCCAGTCCCTCTGAGCTACTGTTGGTGGCCAAGCTTTTAGTAACTAACTTCTGTAATTCCTCCTACCCTCCCGCGTCATCCCCTCTTTATCTTCCTTTAAATCTCACCCAAAACCTATCTCTTCGACTGCACCAATGGTTCCCCCCTTCCCCAGGCCCTCTTGCTCAATATCCAATTCCACCTCTGTGAAGCACTCCGATATTAAGGTCTGTATATTAATGAAGTTGTCGTCATGGTAAAATTGAAAGGGAATGTGCATATTTTAAGAGCCAAATCAAACAACCTTAAAAATAGGCAATCAGTTTTGGGGAAATGGTGCTTAGAATTTATTGTAAATGTGTCTAGTCAGGATTTTATTCGATCCATTATAAAGAATTATCAGTTTAACCATCAGTTAAATTAACTACAAAGAAATATTTGACCCCATTAAAAAAAAGTACTGTAGCTCAGTGGTTAGAGCATTCGCTTTGCAAGCGAGAGACCTGAGTTCAATTCCAGGCAGGGCGAAACCTTGGGCAAGTTTCCTTACTCCACACAGAGCCTACTAATAATCCCTCCAAAACCAAAAACAATAATAAATTGGTCATTTTCAATCTACGACTGTTTGTGGGACATTGCTGTGCGCAATTGGCTGCCACGTTTGCCCACAAATATACAGTCAATTCACTTTACAGTGTGTTCTGTGAAGCGCTTTGGGACGTCCTCCCGACGTGAAAAGCGCTATATCAAATGCAAGGATTATTATTATTACTCGAATTAGCCTTTGGATGGATGCCAACAAAACTTTGTACTTTGGTACATTACTAAATGTTGTCTTGCCTTCTTGTCAGGCACTTTGTGCCTTGGACTTAAAAGAACAAATTGAAGTGTGATCTGATTACTCTCAATACACAGTCAGGTTGTCCCTATGTGAAAGGCTATAAATGTAAATTTGTATTGTAATGTATTGTAGGCCTGGTGACAATTATCAAATGCAAGGATAATTATTATTATTAATCATCACTTGAGCAGAGAGCCCGGCAGTGTGAGGAGGGAACTGAGTGAGATGGAACAGAGTGAGAAGTCTGTTAAGGAATTTGGTGAGAGTGGGGATTCTTCAGTAAGAGAGATACCAGAGAGCAAGAGAGATACCAGAGAGCAAGAGAGATACCAGAGAGCAAGAGAGAACTCTTTCATTCAGCAAAACAGTGAGAAATCTTTCTTGAAGTAGAGGCAACCTTATATGTAAGCCGAAAAACATGTCAATTAGCAGTTAATCATAGGCCAGGTGTTGGAGAGTAATATATTTGCTGGCCAGTGGAAACTGGGTGCTCTTGTTTGATCCTATATAACCGAGAAGACTTGTGAGAGCCTCACTTGAGCAAGAACAAAGTGAGAATTCTGTTAATGAATATTTACATAATTATAAAATATATACTGGTTATATTAAAATAATATAAAACATGTCTGAGAATATAGCAGAGCAGCTGAGACTGGTTGTATGCACAATGTGTGCCATGTGGGAACTCCAGGATTCTTTGTGTGCCCTGGACAGACACGTGCCTCCGTCTGCTTGAGCTCAGAGTTTCTGAGCTTGAGAAGAGGCTGGTGTCATTGCATAGCATATGGGTGGCTGAAGAGTTCATGGATCGAATGTTTCAGGAAGTGGTCACCCCATAGCCACAGAGGGTTCAGAAGGAGACTGAGTGGGTAACCAAATGGCAAGGTAGGAAGAGGGGATGGGCAGTGCAGAAATCCCCTGAGAGTGTGGCACTCGCAAACCAGTTCTCTGCACTGAGAACCGGTCCGGGGGATGACACCTCTAGGGAGGGGAGTCGAAAGCAAATGGATGCACAGGAAAACACAGGGAAGAGTGTCGATGCAATTGTCATTGGCAACACAATGGTGAAAGGAGTAGACAGGCATTTCAACCAAAGACATGACTCTTGCATATTATGTTGCCTCCCTGGTGCCAGGGTTAAAGACATCACGGAATGGGTGCAAAACGTTGTACAGGGGGAAGGAGAACATCCCAAAGTCGTGATCCATGACGTAGGGGGGGAAAAAAAAGGGCTGAGATCCTACAGGGAGAATGTCAGAAGCTAGGGAACAAGCAAAAGAGTAGGACCTCAAAGGTGATGATCTCTGGATTACTCCCAGTGCCTCATGCAAGTGAGTATCAAAACAGCAGGATCTAACATATGAATCCATAGCTGGAGAAATGGTGCAGAAAGGAGGGCTTCAGCTTCCTGGATCATTGGGACCAGTTCTGGGGCAAATGGGACCTGTACAAGGTGGATGGGTTACACCTGAATAGGGCAGGGACCAAGGCAGGGAGGTTAATTGGAACTGTGGGGAAAGGTTTAAACTAATTTTGAGGGGGGAAGAGAATCAGGATGTAGCATTAGAGAGGACAAACAAGTTACATAGAGGGCTGGGAGAGCCGAATAGCAATGTAATCAAGAGTAATCCAGAAAAAGGAGGGATTAGATGGGGGAGAAATGCAGAACAGACTAAGTCGGTCTTGGAGTGCATATGCATGTGCGTATTGTTGGAGGTGCCAGTCCTTTGGATGAGAATTAAAACCAAGGTACTGTCTGCCTATTTAGAGGACGTTCAAGATTCCAAGGCAGTATTTGAAAAAAGACGGGAGTTTCTCCTGGTGTTTTGACCAGCAATCCTCCAGATAATAACTGTCTGTTGTCTTCATGGTTGTTTGTCAGACAGTGAGATGCCCAAATTGGCTACTGCGATTGAATACAAATACAGTCACTTCACTGAAAAAATCCTTTGAATTACCGTGAAACATTGGCAACATGATAAAGCACTATATCAAATCCAAGGATTATTTTTATTATTATAACAGAATTCATCATTCATCCATTGAGAAACTTGAAACCCTCAATGACACTTCCTCACCCCTCAGGCCGCCGAAACCCTCATACATGCCTTCATTACAACCAGGCTTGACTATGCCAATGCCCTGCTTGTCGGCCTTCCCAACTCTTCCATCCACAAGCTGCAGATCATCTAGAACTCTGCAGCTCATGTCCTCTTCTGCACCAGGCTCCGTGATCCCATCAGATCGACCCTCACCCGGCTCCACTGGCTCCCCATCCCTCAGAGGAGAGTTAAAATTCCTCGTCCTCTCCTTCAAGGCCCTCCATGGCCTTCTACCCTCCCTACCTCTCTGACCTGTTAACCCTTATCAACCTGTCCACTCAGCAGGCTCTGGCCTGCTCCATGTCCCCCACCCGGCCCGCCCCAACATTGGTGGTCAGGCCTTCAGCCTCTCTGCTCCAACCCTCTGGATCTCCATCCCACATTTCCTTTGTCTTGCTCCCTCCCTTGCCTCCTTCAAGGCATGCCTCAAAACCATCCCCTTCGACCCTGCCTTCAGCCACCCTCCTACCCTCTCTGCCCTCCACCCCCCTAATTCCCGCCCGGTTGTGTCCTAATGCCTGACTGTTCAGCCACTTCAGACATCCTCCCGACGTGAAAGGCACTTTCAAATATAATTTTGTATTGTAGCGATAATAATGAGTGAAGTTTCAAAATAATTTTGCTGGCAAAAATTATGTCATAGTGTTTCTTCAACCAAAACAGCAGATGCTACAGTAGATACGTGCACTGCACAGTCTGCTTTCAGCCAACAAACAGATTCTGTGCTGGCTCACTTACAAAACATAAATAGCTTCACAATTTTTTGTGGAAGCAAGCATCTGTTGGCGAAAGAGAGGCAGGCTAGATCTACAATTTCGGAATCAACCATGCAATCTGTCAATGCAGTGCACAATTATGAAAGTAAGTGAAAATTGGGGAGAGGTGCATTAATCCTGTCTGAACACAGTGGTGTTTGCTTTTACTGAAATTCAGCAAATTGTCTGGAACAACGTACCATGAAACTCATTGTACTTCTCTTTAGTTCCACATGCACACAATACGGTATTATACAATAGTATTACGCTTCTAAACACAGGAAGAGTCACTATTTTCTAAAGCGTTTCAAAAAACCATTTTATATGAAAGACTTATAAATATTTTGTTATATTTAGTCAGCTGTCCAGCACCGAAATAAGTTCCAGCCCAATTTCAAGGAATACATAAGCAGTCAACAACAACAACAACTTGCACTTATGTAGCAAACTCCATGCCGGGTAAAGTTTCAGAGTGCTTAACAGTGGCGCAGCCTGACTCCGAGCTGGAGGAAGGGGTGAGGCCGTAAGCACAGTCAAACAGGAAAGTTTTCAGATGGGACTTTAAGGAAGCGAGAGACGGGGCAAGGTGAAGGGATTGAGGGAGTGTTCCAGAGTTTTGGGGCATAGTGGCTGAAAGCACGAACTCCAATGGTGGGGCAAAGAGTGCGAAGGTCAAGCAAGAGGCCAGTGCCAGTCGAGTGGATGCACCGGGTGGTGGAATGGGGAGTGAGGAGGTCGGAGAGGTAGGGCTATGCCAGGGAGTGAATGGATTTGAACACGAGCGTCTCTCAGTCTACTGAGAGATACGTTTGGCTCAGTGTGTGTACTAGAATTTAATGGAAATGGCAGATTGGAATCTATTATGTTTGGATCAGGGATGCATTTATTTAGTTTTCACTGTACTCCAGTAGCACAGCATTTAAAGAATGAAAGGAGACACATCTTACCTTTAAACCAACTGCCCCTGGAAGACCATTTCTTCCATGAATTCCAGGTTCTCCCTAAAAGAAAAGGAAAGTGAATAAATATTTAATTGGGTGGTATCATTATTTCAGCACAGTATAATGATTTTATGCATAATAATACTGTATTATTTTCCTTCAGTGTGTGTTAATTCGGGTTATTACCAAAATTAAAAGTACCAATAGCTTCCATTCAACAAATTTATAACAAAAATATAGCCATCACTGCCAGGTAGTCCACAGACACACCCAACTCAATGGGTGGAATGGTTCTGATTTTCAGCTCACACACTAGGAAACTGAGAAGAATATGTATTACATTAATAAAGCAACTCAAAACATCAGCGCAGCTTTATTATTGTAAAATTGTTGTACCCTAAAACACTAAACACAATTTTATGAAGCATAAACATTTTAAAAACTACCTGTGCTCAAGTACCAAAATTGCATTGAATATTGAAAATGTGTTATACAGAGTTAAATATGAACTCTTTCAGATTACAATGTGGTCTTGTTATCAACATCCTCAAACACTGGGATGTTTCCAAGCTTTTGAAATGTTGCATTAATTGCAATTCGAATATGTGAAAATCATAGGTAAACACACAGCTCAGGTGAACAAGAGTCTAAAAAACGCTCGAGAGTGTCTCGCTCAGCAGTGTTCTTTGGCTGTTGTCGATTTGGTTTCCCAAGCCACAAACATCACCACATTATTTGAAATCATTAAGCCATGAAATGGAGGCAGCAATTAATGCAACAACTCCAGTTTATAAATTTTGCAACAATTATGGCCTCAATGACTAGAGTTTCAGTAAATAACCACTGAGCGTACTTTGGATAAAGTTAAGGAACCATTTATAATGTCAGGAACAAGTGCTCTGGCAAAAAATACTATGAGAAACATTTTATTGAAAGATCAAGACGATCACATATTGTATACAATTTTCTTAATATGCAAATGACTTACTCTCGGGCCACGAAGACCAAGAGCCCCCAGCGATCCTTTTTCACCTTTGCTGCCCTGTAATGAAATTCATCGGCAATATTAACTCTTAACAATTTATCCACAAGCTAGGTATTTCAAGTCTCTACACGAGCATTCCTGTGGAAACCAGGTTGTTGAAATCAGACATCATAGAGGTTTGTGTAGTGTGAATTGTACACAAGTACAGCTCCAGATATCTGGGGTGATTTCAGAAACAGTGTGATTCACTCTCAGTGAAATAGAAATGGTGACAGGTAAGAATTGCCTGCGCTCTCTAACCATTCTTTTTCAAAGTTGTCACATTATGAACCTATTTTTAATGTTACTAAATAGTTAACTGCTGGTCTGGCTTTTACAACAACAAAATTACATTTGTAGAGCGCCTTTCACGTCAGGAGGACGTCCCAAAGAGTTGGACCTCCTCCCGACGTGCTTTATTTACTATGATTAAGAAGAACCAGCACCAGTATTCAATGCAGTTTTGTATTTTAATTAAGCAGGTACACGTCACATGCGGTCAGAAAGGAGTCATGGCTGCAATGACTACACCATTATGTTTACCTAGATACATTACACAATACCTAAGAAACAAAAGTGAAATTACTGTAGAAACAACCACATACTTTACTTCCAGATAGTCCCAACATTCCTGGACGGCCAGGCTGTCCTTCAGGTCCCTTGAGAGGTTTCAAAGAAGATAAGTGAGTGCTTTGTCTTAAATCTTATGTTCTGACACAATGCAGAATGGGGGTGTAAATTTGTACAATATTGCAATAGTACCTTAGGACCTGGAGACCCTGGTACACCTGGAAAACCTTGCAATCCATTTTCACCCTGAAGATAAGGTCAGACAAGAGGTGGGAATTATTCCTAGGATGCAATTCTTTACAAACAATTCATTTTGTAAAAAAGGGCCGCTCACCTTTAGAGCACTTTCAAAATGATCATCCAACTAAAATGTGTTTTGATCAGTTTTGATATCTCGGCTTTTTATTTCTTTTTATTTAAGTTTTTGCTAGATCAGTAAATGCTGATGGCATCATCAGGGGCACCACTCAGAGGAGATACTTGTTAACGTTTAGATTTACAGCCTCAGGAACCTATGTCAACAAACTAATGTGAATTCAGCTACATTTATGCTAATGCCATGAACAACTCTTCCAAGACAAACTCTTCTACCATAATCTCATCCATCCTTGCTCTATAACTCATTTTTTTTAAAGATTGGTGTAATAGAAATAACAGACACGTGTTCCCAAGTTAATTAAGCATTCTTTGCAATGTTTGTTTTTGATGAATGTGTTCTGATGATAATGATAATAATCCTGACATTTGATAAGCGCCTTTCACGTCAAGAGGATGTCTCAGAGTGCTTTACATGGATTCAAGGTGACTTTGCATTTTGTTGATGAATCTCCTCTAACAAATTAATTGCTATTGATGCAGAAAAGACTTCAGTCACAAAATTGATTGTATAAGTCAATAAAAGAGAGAAATCCTACTTGGTTTCCTTTGAGGCCAGGATTCCCTGGAAATCCAGTCAGCCCGGGTGAACCCTAAGAAAAAACAATTGTAAGCCTTATAGAGAATTAAGAGTTTGGGTCATACTGTGCAAAGGCATAACCATCTTTTTTATAAAAAAGGCCACACAGATGAAACTTGTTTACTTGTTGAGTTTATTGGAATTGCATACCTGTATGCCTTGAGCTCCTGGTACACCTGGTATACCTCGTTCACCAGGTAATCCCTAAAAAGGAAGGGCAGATTAGAGAGATAGACAACAGTGATGATCTTCAGTGACAAACTCTGAGGACTCACCTAGACAAACTAGGTCTTTTCAGCATTGAAAGGCAACTTCTCAAAGAAGTATGTAAGATGCTAAATGGCACAGGTAATTTAAATCTAGAACAACACTTTCAGATGCAGCAAGACAGCCTGAAAAGAAGGCACATGTTCAGGATTGTGAAGGGCAAGGTTAGGTCAGATGCTGAGACCTATTTCTTTACACAGAGGATAATCAACAGATGGAGTTGGTTACCAGGAAGAGTAGTTGAGGACACAACATTGAATTAATTAATTTAAAAGGTAGCTCAATGTTCACAACAGAAAGATAATAGGAATCATGAGATCAAAAAGGGTGAAGATATTTCTTTTGATATCACTTGTCATGAGTTTCAACAGCAGTTGCTACAATATGCTTTAATTCAAACTGTACTTAACTTTCTGTAATGTATTACAGACTAAACATTACAAAACAGGATATAGATCAGTCATGATTCCCTCCTGCATAAAAAACAACTTACTGAATATATGAGACACATTCTGGTACGATGCAAAATATAATATACAGAGGTCATTGTATTTCATTCTCTGAAGGCATTAATTGACACTAATGAACTTAAAAGATGGCAAGATTGGTCTGGATGATTAGGCCTTTCGGCGCATCCGATCTCATCCTCCAGGACACCCACAGTCCCTCATTACTGCATTAAACTGCTTGTTAAATGAGTCCAGCCTCAACCACCTTTCCAAGCAATCTGTTCCAGTCATTAATTACCCTCTGGGTAAAGAAAAACTTCCTGGTATCTGTCCTGAAATTGTCCTTTACAATTTTAAACCTATGGTTCCTCTTGTTCTACTGTCTTGGTGCATCTTAAAGTATTGTTCTGGGTTTACTTTTTAAATCCTATTTAAAATGTTATATATTTCTATAAGGTCCCCTCTAATATCTTCTATCAAGAATCAAGAATCTTCCCTACCTTGTCTAATTGCTGCTCATGGGGTCATGGCTCATCCCCCTGCCAAGGATACCAGTAACTCATAGAAGCATCGACTCTATTTGTAAGCTTAGACTGTGATGATCACTAGGCCAGTCAATTATTATGGGGTGGAAGAAGGAAAGATTCGTCACAGCTAAACCTGTTCTCATCTGACGTTCACACCTCCAGAGTTTCCAGCAGAGATCGCTGAATAGCAATCAGGAATAGAAACTTGGCTGATTTTTTTAGCACCTCCTCCTATCGCTGTGAAAGAAGTCAGCTAGCTCAGCACAAATCAGGGATTATATCCAAGACCTGCCTGATCTGCAGGTTCAGCACCATATGATGTAATACATTTCTATTCTGCTATATAACACTGCACAAGAAAACACAGCAACACTTCAGATCAATTACTGTACAACATTTCAACTACAGCGTGTACAACCTGCCATCAAAAGAGTATAAGTCAAAATCGGCAGATCTTATTCAAGAACAAAATCATTCCGCTATAAATTTCGCTTGGCGAGAATGGATCATTTTAGAAATAACTCCACAAAATGAAGTCTAAGTGCACAGGTCACAGCAATGGTTTGTCCACCCATATTTAGCAGGTAAAATGAGCAATATATTTTTCTATCTTTCCTTATCTTGTCATTTCCTCTCTTGGCTGGTTGGGGAGATATGGAATCTTGATTGGGAAAGGACTTGCAATGCCCCAAGCATTCAGTCACATCAAAGTAAAATAATGTTTTAAGGTTTGTTCATCAATTAACAATAAATCATTGTAAAGGCAGACTATCTGACCTTTCACCTGTTCGTACAAAGAGACGATGTAGACAATGTTATACTCACCTGCTTCCCATCAGCTCCTGAGCTTCCAGGTTGACCTGGCATTCCCTTATATCCCTGGTCATAGGAACAGACTTTAATACATTATGTCATGACACCTACAGGTTCTTTTATCATTAGCAGTTATTAAAAATACAACAAAGGCCATTTGTGAACACAGAAGATGGTCGGACTTATCAGCTATAAACCATACAAAGCAGAAAATATCAAAAGGGAATTAGATAAGATGTTTGAAAAATAGAAATATTAAAATAATGTGGGGAGTGAGCAGGAGAGTAGGATTAGATTCCAAGTTTACATTTAAATACCAAAGTCTGCATGACATCCCAAAGTGCTTGATGGTCTTGACTTGGCAATAGGTGGCTCATGTGAATAAAATCACTGTGCAGACTTGATGGACCAAATGGTCAGTTTCTATACTCTAACAATCTATGATTTTAAGTTAATCAATGATATTACTGTTTAAATTCTCACCTTTACAAGGGCAAGTGGTTGAAATTTCATATACTTATGCTATTTATGCAGCATTTCAGAGCATCCAGAATTTAATAATCCTTGCATTTGATGGAGAGTCTTATCACGTCATCAAGACTTCTCCGTATTTTATTGCGAAGTATAGTGACTGTGTATGTGTAGGCAAATGCAGCAACTGATTTGGATACAGCAATGTCCCATTAATAGGCATTAATAATAAGAATAAGACTCCTTGCTAATGTAAATGATTTGTTTTATTTTTGGGGATCATTGGACAAGACATCGGGAAAAACTCTGTTCTCTTTTATGAATACTGCCATGGGAACTTTTAATAAATTTGGCAAAGAGTTCAATTTAGTCTTAATTTTGAAGCTAGTTCTCAATAACCTAAACAACTTGCCAATTTCAGCACACAGTAAAATGCTACAGAATGTAGAATAAATCTAGATCCCATTTCTCCCCAAACATTCTTTACAGATATATTTATAGATTTATATTTATCTTCTGATGAAATCCAGTGTCTCTGTGAGCTTGTTTGGTATTTCAATACACAAGAAAAATGTAGAGACACATTCAATAAAGGTGAATAGAATCAATGACAAACAATATGGTTTGCAGGAATGATATCAAGCTGAAGTAGACGCACCTTGGGCTATAAAAAGAATAAACGTAATCGGACAACTGAAATCTGTTTATGCTACCTTGGGGAACTGTGTAATGATGTTTTCCATTAGCTCTGGGAGAAAGCTTGGAAAATATTTATCTTTGATATTTTGCTTATATATGTTTACAGCGTTTCTATGCATCACACATTATTCACCAGCTAGAAATGAGAAATCTTCTTCTGATCAGACATGAGAAGCCCAACCTTTCTTTGGCCCCTAATGTTAGGAACAGTAACTGTTTAGTGCACAGAATATCCTTTCCCCAGTTGCCCAGTAATGCATGCCCAGCAAAGCTGAAGGAGTGTAGACATCAGTGACGATAGGATCAGACTCAACTACAATCCACTTTCCAAGAACTGAGGAAAATCAACTTTCAAATTAAGAATTACATTTTTTTTCGCAAATTCTGCATTCTTTTAAATTCGAGGACAGTGGTTTTAAAGCGAAGACAAAAAAAAATTGGGGGCGTCAGATCTTCAAGATGTCTTATATATCACCCCAGCATAACTAAAAATCAATATACCGCCATCTAGTGTTTAAGATTAGATTCCAGCAGAAGAAAGTTTGATGATATTAGCAAAACTGTAACGAAGCTGCCTGAGTAACCGGTTGTCGAGTCCAAAGAGTGAGAAATGTGATTGATTGTGCTTGTGGCAATGAAAAAGGGTAAGTAATGATGCAACGTTGTACTAATGGTAAATGGCACACTGCTGAGCCAGCCAGTGAGACACTGTTGTTTCTGAGCAGGGTTCCCACACTTCCTATGTTGCATTTCTGGATACTGATGGGAGTCGCAGTTTTGACTCTGCCTGTGAATATCACATTTTAGACCCTGCAGTGAGTAGATTGACTTTTCTAAACCAACAAATAATAATAATAATAATCTTTGCAATTGATATAGCGCCTTATCACATCGTTGAGCCGTCTCAAAGCGCTTCACAGAATATACTGTAAAGTGAATTGACTACATATTTTGTGCGCAAAACGCGACAACCAATTTTGCACAGCAGTTTCCCACAAACAGTCGTGGATTGACTAATCAAATTATTATTATTTAGTCCTGGAATAACTGAGAAGAAGTTAACTCACTTTTTGTCCAGGAAGACCAGGTAATCCAGAGGGTCCTGAAGAGCATTCGCAAACCGGCATAGGTGGCATTCGGTCAGCTGGGCACTTCACAAAACAAATTATAGAGTTTTAGTGTGAGAGATATGTTTGTTTCTTTAAAGCAGCAAAACTAATGTAAAAATACAGAATTACTTCAATTGTTTGCTAGTACCAAAAATACAAACACTACTTACCCTTTCATCATCCTAAAACAGAAAAAAAATAACAATTACATGACAGTACATAGCAGATACATCAGAAATGTTCACCTCACCTGTCACACCCATTTCTTTTGTACATTAATAAATTCATCATAGTCAAAATCAGAATTTCTGAACAGAATATGTGCTTCACAAAAGATAATCCACAAGCACAAAAAAATTGTGCTTTGATTCCTTTCAGTTTGCAGTTTGAGATTATATAACGTTATTAGTGAAACTACAGATCTTTCAAAATACATATATTATAATAACTGCAGTCTTGCAAATTTGTTACAGTTGGGACAATAAACACGGCATTTGACAATGTACCTCAAATCTACTTCATGTTAAAACTTAAGGATAGGATCTTTATTTTACCAATATATTTAAAGCATTTGGCAATTAATTCTTAGGATTTAAAATTTCGCTTTCGTTTGATGTGCAATTAAATCTCTGATCAAAATGGAGCAAAGCAGGACAACAAAGGAGGATCAACAATGATGATGAGAGAGCAAGAATAATAAGTAACTGGAAAATAGTTGTGGCTCTAAAACTGGGTTAACGTGAATAAGTTAGAAAATAGTAGCAATGAAAGCATCAAATGCTCTCTTTACAATGAAATTGCAATTGATGGCGCAACAGTAAAGATTGAACTTATCTAAAGTTGACTCACTAATACTTATAGAAGACTATAAGCCATTCTGCTTATACGGTCCCTATGGAACTCCGTCCTGGAGTCACTCCAACTCGCTCCTTCCCTTCCTTCGTTCAAGACCCATCTCAAGACCTGCGCTTTTGGTTATTTTTCTCCACCCCCCACCCATTCAGCTCCCACTCCCAGATCGGGTGCCGAGCTAGCAGTGTCAAGACATCATCCCAAAGTAAAATGAGCTATATAAATTTGAATTGTATTGTATTACTGCAACCAAACTGTATTTTATGTAAATATTGCAGAGTTTAGCAAAAAACAATTGTTACAAGACTTCAGCAACTACTGATCTGTAGGCCATTTCAGAGTAGAGTAGTTGAAAACAGAAAGTATGTGGTGCTTTGATTTGAAGAACTGTATTCTTAATTCAGAGGAAATGGGAGCAACTCAGAAGATTAAAAAATAACTACTCCGGTCTGAGACTTCACAAAAAAGTAGATGTAGAAGCTTGGAAGCTTAAGGCAATTTGAAATTGAACCAGCAGAAGAAGTATTAGAAATTCAAAACAGCATTTATATTTCCTGCTCTAAAATCACGTTTGCCCGGGGCTGAGGAGAGTTCTGTGTCACTGAGCATATGTGCCGAACTCAGATGACTAGCACGAAATTATTGTTTTAAATTTATTAAAGGCCAGGTTACACAAACCCACATCTTTGCTACATTAAAAGCGGTTGCTTCGAGCACCCAAACACTTTTATGAAGCCAGATTTGAGCCATCCAAATCTATTTTCTGGCTAAAACACTCCCTCAACTTATTTTTGCAGGCAATTTCCAACACAAACCGCTTTGCGATCATGCACTTTAAACAGTGATTATATTCCACTATGATTCTGAAGCGGTGGGACAAGTGCAGTATAAATAGAACGTTAGGCTGACGAGAATTATACATCGAAGTTCTGCTATGTTAGTATTGATAGATAATCACATGACTTTAACAGCAACTTTGACTAATTGTAACACCTTTACTTAAATTGTATCTAATTCAGAAAGTTTGGCTTGAAGCATTTGCATCATGCCATTATTACTTGGTTTGCTTTCACTTATTTCAATCAATTTATTTCATTGTGTTGGTTGCTGAATGTGTTAACTAACCCACATATGCTTTTGAAGATTTGTTTAGCTATGTATAGCACTTAGAAAATGCTGTGGCTACAAACCTAAAAGGGGCAGCTGAAAAAACACAAGATTACTTATAAATCTTTAAAGAATTGCCCGGCTTTAACCAAAGTTTGGGTTTGCAGGTCTGTACCAGCTTAAGATTTTATCTTTATTTGTTGTCATTTGCATTTTCTCCACAATTGGAAACAGTATTGTGATATATCCGTAAAATATATGGATCCTGCGTTTCTGTAATTCAATCTGTTTTGACTAGCTGTTAAAGTTCATAATTTGATATTTAAATTGTCTATTTTCTGACCTTAACTGCATGAACTGGTGATCAATCACAACTCTATGCAAATTAACAAAATAATGATGGGTTTATGTAGAATCCAATTGTTTTATTTCAAAGCTTTTGCAAGCTTTCGTCCTCAAATACTTTAAAATAATAAATTGGTCTGCTTCTGAGGGGTAAGAGATAATTTTGTTCAGCTCCAAAACAGAAGAAGATTTTTACACTGCAAACCAAAATCGTTTCTCTAACTTCAACATTATGCATCATTCAAATGAGATATTAAACATCTTCTCTTTGTTAAAAAACAGTGATTTATTTCTCCCTGTGTCCCGTCAAAATCTCCCCAAATAAAAAAAAATTCTCATTAACTCTATGGCTGTTTGTGGAGCATTGCTGTGGATAAATTAGCTGCTGCATTTGCCCGCAAAATACACAGTCACACCACGCTATACCAATTACAAGGATTATTATATATGATATCAAATGTAAAACATGTAAAAATGTGATTTGTAGTTGTTGGTATCAGAAAGACACCAAGCCTTTACTTATCTTTATTTGTCTACAGTAACTAGTTAATTATGAAATCCTATTTATAGCCCTGGATAGAGAGGTTGTATGCGCACACAAATGAGTTAATACCCACTATATCAACAGCTTCATTTAAATGACAAACATGTTACTTGTTAAAAGGAGGTTTAAGTTAAATAAAAATGACGACTGTTGGTGTATCATTTAATGATTCACAAAGATTATATCTGGGCATTGGTCTGTGAAACTAAATATTTTGGCAAAGCCGTGAACACTGTTTATAAGCACTAAAGATATCATCTTAGGTTTTGTTCCTCAAAGCTTAACATAATATTTGTAGAGAACTTAGTTTTGAATGTTATTTGTCGAATTCAATTCACTTCAAAGATTTGCTGTATACTTCAGAACATCAAAACTTCCAAGTCGTCTTAAACTAATGGGGGAAAATTTCACCTGAGTCTAGATTCACTTTATTTATGCAGCATTTCAGAGTGTCCAGAATATGGCAAATTGTTAAATAAAACCTCAATTTTGAAGACAATTTTCTATAAGTTCTTTAAAGAACTATGGAGAACTGACCAAAGTTAAGGCTGAATTCAACAAGTTGTGAATTTCTGCACACTCTGAAATGATACATAAAGTGAATGTGAAATTCCTCCCCATAAATCTCTACTCTGTAGTGCACAAATTCAACAGCTTTGTTGTTGATTCGCACAAGGCGTCAGAATGATGTTCAAATTGCAGAAGTCGTCAAAGTTTATTCCAGCAACTGAACAAGGGAACTTTAAAAGTGCTCCTGAGTGTTGTTGGCTCTTGTTATCCATTACCAGAAAATGTGCCCTGTGACAAAGTGCAGATTTATCACGGAATCCAATGTGTATTACACCAACTCATGAGACTCCAAGGCTGCTGCTCAAGATTGCCTCAACATCGTAGTGTGACAACTCGGCTTGATGTACTTAATAATAATAATGATAATAATCCTTGCATTTGATATAGCGCTTTTCACGTCGGGAGGACATCCCAAAGCGCTTCACAGAACACACTGTAAAGTGAATTGACTGTATATTTGTGGGCGAACGTGGCAGCCAATTGCGCACAGCAATGTCCCACAAACAGCCGTAGATTGAAAATGACCAATTTATTATTGGTTTTGGTTTTGGAGGGATTATTATTAGGCATGTGGAGTAAGGAAACTTGCCCAAGGTTTCGCCCTGACTGGAATTGAACTCAGGTCTCTCGCTCGCAAAGCGAGTGCTCTAACCACTGAGCTACAGGACTCCACAAATACTTGGGTATTCCTGCTGAAAAATACAATTGGCACCACTCCACAAGGTGCCTATATCTGAGGCAAGGATCAGTAATATTGCGGCTTTCCTCACAGTGCCTTTTCAACCCCAATTGTTAGTTGTAAATCTGAGCACCTTACAAACTACATTACAAAAAGTAACATAGAGATCCTGTGTTTCCAGCTGCAATAATTGCATTTATCTAAAGCATAAGTTAAAAGGATTTGTGAATGTGAAGAATTTACCTTTTAAAATTCTTTCACACATTTGCTGATTGATAAGATAATCAACAAAGATACAGGAAGCTTTATTTATTAAACAAAGTTCCCCTCCAGTAGCAATGACACAACACCAGTAATAGCCGCACCAAAGATGGAAAATGTTATGGATGCCATTCCCGATAAGTGTCGTAACACCATTAATCGTCGATCAGAAGGCAATTGGGTAAGTTTGCCAAATAGACAAAACAATTACATGTTGCCTCTCAGCTGCACATATTTACAAGTGTAAAGGACAATTCTACCCATTCAAGGTGAGAATTCTAAATATCTACAACTGAAAATTAGGTAAACAAACCATTTTTTTCCTAGCTTCTGTTGTGTATTAGTGTGCAAGTCTCAGGGCTTTCCACTAAATAAAAAGTACATTTTAATAAAAATCCTATGGACACAGCCATGCACACACTCACAAGCATCTCCATCCTCACCTCCACATTTTAAACAAAAGGTATTCCCAAGGAAGGAGGGTAGAACAGTTTGCATTTAAAGGAGCACTTCATTTAACAAGAACTGCACAATATGTGAGTAATGAACCTTTCTTAATTTATTATCCTCAATATATCAAACAACTTTAAGAAGAAGAAAAGTCTGTCTGGCCTGGGTGCACCCCTCTCCTGTGTGTGGGCAGAAAAAAAAGGATTATTTTGCTGCTAGAAAGTGCTAAGGATAAGCACTCTAGCAATAGATTAAGCTCCCGCAAGTCAAAATACAATGTAATATGTGTTTATATAGTGCCTTTCACATCAGAAGGATGTCTGAAAGCATTTTACAATGCTGGCTGACATCTGTACTGTGAGGTGGCAGCTGTAGAGGGTGGGGAGGGGAAAGATGACCGAAAGCATGGTCAAAGAGGTATGTCTGGAGGCTGACATTCAATTTGGGAGAGAGAGAGTGAGCGAGTAGGAAAGACTCCATGGAAAGTGAAGTAATGTACATTGCTCTTGTTTTCTCACCACTGAGGGTATCTCACAGGCAGTCTCTTGATCACTTTGCTGTGGGTCACAGTAGAGTCTAAGCTTCTGTATTTCGATCTGTTTAACAAAAAGATATTTGAAACGAAATATAAATCATGAGCAAAACAAACACAACTTGAAGAATCTTTCAGTTCAGTAAATACCAGCTGAGAATCATTTAGGTTGCTTTTTGACATTTAATATCATTTAATATTTGGAAACATTCGGCTCATAATCAATACATGCTACCTAGACACATCTAATAAAGTCTTTTATTTTACAATTATTTGTTTAAACAGGTCAGTATCCAATGAATGATTGCTTATCTTAGGGTATTATTGGGGAGGGCGGGGGAGGAAAGTAAAAGCCGAGTCTTCTTAGTGCTGAGCCAGCTCTAAGGATAGTCACCTGCTTAGCAATGGAATATTGGACCAGAGTCTATCATCTCTGAGGTCTCACTAGGCCAGTTTGTGAGCCAACAGACCAGCCAGCCTCATCAGCAAGACTTGTAGAGGTAGACTGGGCACTGGGGAAAGAGATTCTTCCCACTCAGCTCCTGTTAACCATGTAACCAAAGCCGTAATGGGTAGGATGGTATTAGCTGGATAAGCAGTGGGAAAGCTTGTTAGACAGTGTTGGCAAAGGCAAGCTATGCAGTATTAATTGGTTAAACTCACCACACACTCTGGGTCTCCAATTCTTGGCTTTTGCCAACCTGTGCCTAATATTTTCTGGGTTTAGATGAGCAGGGTGTTCCCTCCAGGAAAGAATTAGGGCTTTTGCTTGCTGAAATGATGATTTTAAGGGGGAAGTAGCCATATATCTATAGCTCAGCTCCCCTTAAAGTGGTGACTGTAGACAGATTCTGGGGGGGCTGAGTCCCTCTAGACATAGACACCCACTACCTATGTGCACAGCAATGTCCCACAAACAGCCATGAAATGTATTTCAATTTTGTTAAGGGGACACCAGTAGAAACTCCTCTTTTTGAATAGTACCTTGGGATCTTTAACGTCCACCTTACCATACAAATGGGGCCTTGGTTCAATGTCTCATCCAAAGGATGGCACCTCCACCAATGCACACACTGTGTATTTGTAGGTGAATTGGGGATGGAAAGCACAGGTATAAATATTCTGCAATGGTTGCCAATTTATATTATATGTGGGGTCCTGTAACTCAGTGGTTAGAGCACTCGTCTCGCAAGCGAGAGACCTGGGTTTGATTCCCGGCAGATCAAATCTTGGGCAAGTTTCCTTACTCCACACTGATAAAAATCCCTCAAGAAGAAAAAAATAAGCAATAATAAATTGGTCACTTGAATGCACAACTGTTTGTGGGACACTGTTGTGCGCAATTGGCTGTTGCGTTTCGCCCGCAAATATACAGTCAATTCACTTTACAATATATTCTATGAAGCGCTTTGAGACAACGAGAAGATGTGAAAAGCGCTATATCAAATGCAAGGATTATTATTATATGAGTTTCAAGCCCTGTCTTGGGGCTTAAACCCACAACTTTCTGACTCATAGGTGAGAGTGCTACCAACTGAGCCAGGATGACACACTTTATACAATACAACTTTTCCACAACCTAACTTTGATAATATCTTAAATAGTATAACAATGTTATCCCTCAACTTTTATCCAATTGATTACTATGATCTCATGATTCTAGGCTGAATCTTGTGCATTCAAACTTTATTACAGAAAATAAAAATAATCACTTCTTTATGCTGGAAGTGACTGTATCTAAAGGTATCTAATTTCCACTAACAGTATTTTACTTACAGGCACCAGTGTCTCTCTTTTCACCACCTTGGCAACCTGTGTCTTCCCATTTATGAAGATTGGAATAACTTTCTCAAGACGCTGGTTGCGAATTTTGACATCATCCAGGAAGCAGGAAACTTCTATTTCCAGCACCACAAGCTTTAACTGGTGCCAGTCTTCATCAAACAATTTCTGTTGAACAAAACAATAAAATATTACCACTGTATTCAAAAGACTGAAGTTACTATTTATGTCTGTGCTTTACACACCCAATTCCCCTACAAATACACAGGCGCTGCATGTCACAATAAAATCCTGTGTCTCCAACATGATAACCATAACATTTACAGCCACAGCTTCTATTGGGAAAAAAAGTCTATTATAATTCCTAATTTTGCAGAGTAAGTAAACGTTTTTCCAATAAACAAAGTAAGAACTCTGATTTGAGCTGGCTTTATAATGTTTATTTTTGCTCTCTTAATTATGCAGAATGTACAATTGACTTTTGTAAAAGAGATGTCTGTACACTTAATGGTGTTTCTTACTCCTCCCTCATTTCCATTTATATTCTTTGATAACAGTGGTCAGAGGAATCCCTGAGACAGACATTTTGTGTGAAATTCCCTCTGTCAGTGACACCCTGTTTCTCTGCATCATGAACAGGACCAGTGATTTGTGGGCATTTCTTCCCTTTCATGTCACTGCAAAAGGTCTTTATTGGAAGGTTTGACAAAATGTATACTTTCAGGTTGCCTATGAATGGTAGTTTTAAAGTGCAGCAGTGAAATATAGCTATCAGTGTGAGCTTTACTGTTTCACAGTATTTATCCAGCTAGGACAGTCCAACAAGTTAGGGTTTTGACTTGTATGGCTTTGGGCATGCTTACACCTCTAGGTTGTATTATCAGCCAAACATCTGGTCAGCCATCAACAGTGCCATAGATTACTGTACATCAGCCGGGCAGGTCTCCTCAGAGCTGCTCAGTCACAGAAAAAACCTGCTTACATTCCATCCCACAGACACTTTTAGACTGAGTACTCATTATCAAGTCCAAACGGGCTGAGTGGATTAATCCCAAACTGCTGGTGCTCAAATTCCCAGGAACATTATTAATACTTATAATCCTTACATTTCATACAACTCTTTTCACATCAGGAGGAATTCTCAAAGTGTTTAACAGGATTCACTATAAAGTACAATCAATCTGTATTCTGTAGGTGAACACAAAAGCCCACTTGCAAATAGCAATAACCCACAAACAGCCAAGGAGTAAATGATCAATTTTATTTGGGGGGTTATTGGTCAGGACACTAGGAGAAACTTTCTTCTCTTTTTGAATAGTGACACGGAATTTTTAACAGCCACATGATAAGGCAGAGGACCTCAGTTCAAAGTCTCACCCAGAGGGCAGCGTCTCCAGCAATGCAGTACACCCCCAGCACTGCAATACAATACAAAATTACATTTGTAAAGCACCTTTGACATCAGGAGGACGTCCCAAGGTGCTTTACAAATGTAATTTTGTATTGTATTGCAGTCAGGGATTAGGATCCAAGCGGGAGGTCAGGATTGGGGAGAGTGGAGGGCAGGAAGGATAGGAGGATGGCTGAAGGCTCAGTTTAATACGAGGATTTTGAGACGCACCTTAAAGGAGGCAAGGGAGGGAATGAGGCGAAGGGAATGTGGGATGGAGTTCCATAGGGTGGGGGCAGAAAGGCTGAAGGTCTGGCCACCGATGATAAGGCAGGCCAGGCGGGGGACGTGGAGCAGGCCAGAGTCTGCTGAGCAGAGGAAATAGAGGTTGCAATGGGGTCAGCAGGTCACAGAGGTAGGGAGGGGCAAGGCCGTTCCATGGAACTCAGTATCACTGGTAACCATTTCCACGTCAGGTTAAAGCACAGATCAGGCCTTAAAGGTGAGGACGAGGATTTTGAACTCTATCCTCTGGGGAATGGGGAGCCAGTGGAGCCGGGCAAGAATGGGGGTGATAGGGTAACGGAGCCTAGTGCAGGAGAGGACACGATCTGCAGAGTTCTGGATAATCTGTAGCTTGAGGAGGGAAGAGTTGGGAAGGCTGGCTTGACAGACTAGACTGTGAGTTCAAAGTCCCAACTTCAACAACAACAACATGGATTTATATAGCGCCCTCCACGCCAGACGACGTCTCAGAGCACTTCACAGTAACGGATCCCGGGGCCGAGCCAGGGGGAGGGGGAGGAAGGTGACCAAAGGCGCCGTCGAAGAGAAAGGTCTTCAGCAGAGACCTGAAATTAGGAAGAGAGGGAGTGAGGCGAAGGGAGTGAGGAAGGGAATTCCAGCGCCTCAGGGCATAGAAGGGTGGAGTGGAGGACTCGGGGGACGAGGAGGAGGCCAGACCCGGAGGAACAAAGGCAACTTGGGGTTTAAACCCACAACCATCTGACTTAGAGGTCTGCTATCAACTGAGCCAGGCTGACACCTGGAATAGAATAAAGAATATTTTTGTTCTTCAAAATATGTTAAAAGTTCATGATCTGCAAACAGCTTATTTCTAGCTTTTTTTTCTTGATGCCAGAAAAAACACTGTATTTCTACACTTTCCATATAGTATGTTGACTTTTAGTCAAAGTCTTGGACTCTCAACTAATTTCACAACTAAGGTTATTTTGGAGAGATTTGTGTTACTCAAGGTGAATAATATCAGTCCTGGGGAATGGAACATTTCTCTCCATGGAACTCAGTATCACTGGTAACCATTCCCAGGTTAAAGCACAGAGCAGATTTAGAGTAAAGTTCCCTCTAATTTAACAGCACCTTCTAATGTACCAGTGTGAAGGTTTCCAATTACCATAAAACAATCCCCAAGTCCTCTATGGGGGTAAATAAGACACTCGATAGTGAACTTTACTTTCCCACAATAGGCACAGGACTCACAAGCCCAATAACACTTGCAAGTAGCACACTGTTGTTTTGTCCCTTTGAGTGGCACAGCCAAGTTAATTATAGTTGAGGAGATTTAACGGTTTGGACCCAAGCCCGTTAGGAACTGATCTGACATTATCCCAAACTCAGTTCATGTGGGACACTTACTGCTAAAAGAAAGGAGACATTCATTCAGTCACTTTGAGCTCTATTTGAATTTAGTTCTCAGTGGTAAAAGGTAATGTGCCACCACAATGCCCAGACTCTTTCAATGTAACATGAAAACGATTCATTAAATTTACCTTAAAAAGTGATTGTCGCTGTACAGTACGATCAACCCATTAAACTAACAAGAGGTTGGCTCACTAAAGAGGAAGAGGCCCATGCAGAATTAATGGAATGTTTTTCACACACTGCAGAAATGCCTCAAACTATCAAATCATCAGGATGAATAAACGTTGAGTATTTAATGTGAAATTTCATTTTGCAGTAAATTTACTTCAATGTCACAAATACATCAATGTATTAATAGACTAGATAGACTGAAGGTCTCCACCAACCTGAAATGGTTATAATGAAATGTAGTCAATAAATGTAAACTGAGCGAACAGTAAAACATATTTTTGATAACAGTTTTCATTCCAGTAGTCAGTCTGGCTCAGTCTGTAGCGCTCTCGCCTTTGAGTCAGAAGACTGTGGGTTCAAACCCCACATCATATCTAACTGACATTCCAATGCGGTATTGCATTGTTGGAGGTGCCTTTGGATGAGATGTTAAACCGAGATCCTTAGAGAGCCCATGACACCACTTGAAAAAAGAAGTAAGTTTCTCCAGGTGTAATCCCAATAAAATTGGTCATTTCATTTCACAGTTGTTTTTGAGACATTGCTGTGTAAAATTGGGCTGCTGTGTTCACCTACAAATCCACAATCATTCCACTTTACAGTATATCCAGTGAAGTGCTTTGGGACATCCTTCAAACTTGAAAAGTACTAAACCAAATGCAAGGATTATTATTCTCAAGACAATTCTTTGCCTACATTTTAACAGATGCTTTTCTTAATCCACTGTTCAGCAATTTTTACACTATCCCCTTAGCACTATTCCATCTCACTATAATTTCTTTTGAAACGAGAATTCTTATGTTATAATATAAAATGTAATAAACAAACAATGTAATGGTATTTTAACTATTGCAAATAAAGTATTAAGAGCCTTACATAACATCCTAAGATTATTGATAGCTTACTTATAATTTTGTGATATCTATTGAATTGTACAATATATAGATTTTGCACAGTGATATAATGTATTGATCGTGTATATTATATTGTATTGATGAATCATAATGAAAGGGTCATCCAAAAATCGCTGGATCCCTCCCAGGAAAAGCTGACAGCGACACAATCTTAATTCTAATAAACATTCTAAAATGTTACTGTACAGAACAATCTCGGGTCACAGCCAAGTTCTCACATGAAATTTATAGGATCTTTCAGCAACATTGTAGTCTAGCCTGCACCATATTCCTTGTGTAAGATTAGAAAAAGCACCATATATGAAAAATGCATGTCAGATATGATTAGAGTACCCACCTCTAGTTTAGCATCTTTAAAGGTCACTGTCTGGATCTCATTGACAAGACTAGTTGTCGTAAAAAGGACAGCTTGTTTTTCGCCATCAATTGTCACAGCTGCCTGAATGATTCCTTCTTTTGACAAGACTCTCCACAAATCAAAGTGCTGCTTGTTAGTTGGGCTCTTTAAGCGTAATGTGGCAACAAATACATAGGAAGGAGGAAGGCCCTCTGGAAATACGTCCCTGCACCAAACACACAATGCTTACACTTGATACATCCAAAACAATCAGAACCAAAGCACAATCTGAAGCTTACAAGACTAGTCATTTCAACTGTACTGTGGTTAATTGCAGCAAGAATATTTTGACCAACCCAAGCCTTTAATTTAAGTTATGTTTCCATGGGTATTTAAGAACACAATTCAGGCAATACATATGAACAGTTTGATCATTTTCAAAAACATTTTTGCAAACCAGGAAAATAAATCAGGAAATGAATAACGTAAATTGCACCTTGTTCTTAAAAGCTCCTTGGGATGTAAAGTAAATTGCTTTCAGTGAACCACATATAAAATCATAAAACCATAGCAATTTACATCACAGAAGAAGGTCATTCAGCCCATCATTTCAAACAATAAATCATATACATACAATAAAATTCTAATGACATTTTTATACCGCCTTTAATGTAGGAAAGATGTCTGAAAACAATTCATGCTGCTGCTCGGCTTCCAGCCGGGTTGGGGGAGAGAAATCATAACAACCTGTGAGACTCTGACCTGAGATCGCTTTGTGTGACATTCAGAGGGTTCTCTGTAGGTGACTCACACTATGTCTCAAAGCATGTTTTTCAACAACAACAACAACTTGCTTGTAACTAGCATCCATCATGAAGGGTAGTGTCTCGGAGCGCTGCATAATGGTAGAGTTGGACAGCGAGCAAGGGAGAAGTGGCAGGGGAGGTGACCATAGGAACAGGCGAAGACGTAAATCTTTTCTAGTCCAAGGTGCTATTCACACTGCTTTTTTTTCAATGCATACTTTGTCAACAACTATATCCCCACATAGATGGTGAGATCTTTAACCGTAAATCATACCTGGTGTTTTCAGTCACATCTGTCTGAGATGTCAGTTGAAAGGCTGGCTGTGTAGTCAAAGATCCTGGTATTTTTTGGGCTTTCTTTATGATGTTAAGGCCTATCAACAGTTCAAACCCTTTCTCATCACGCGAAGCTACAGGAATTCTTGTAGGACATACCGATTCTGTCAAACAAATGAAAGATTAAAATAATTTATTGTATTTTGTAGGAAATAATTTCACACTTTTAGCTATCAGCATTTCAGTAATGTTACATTGTTACATTATTTTGTATTTTATTTATACTCTTGTTTCTAACAGGCCACAGATTTCCCATTATAGGGACATATCAATGTCCTTTTTCAATAAGTAGAGCTGATTAGCTCCCTTTATCATAAGGGTGGTGATAGCAGCCCTGATATAGTGCTCTTCTCTGTAGCTTAAGGCATGGGTCTACTGTGGCTTCCAGCAATGATAAGCCAGTTTCCCGCACTAAATAAATGCCCAATTTATAGGTCGTCAGGTGGTCGCTGATGTCATTTGTAACATGACTTCACACTACGTGCAGGATGCACCACGAACAACACAAGACATTGCAAAGGAAGTGATATCAGCACACTTCCTGTACTTAGCATGAATGCAGTGATGTTATAGGGGTGACCTGATGATCCAGAAATCATCATTTTTTCATCCTTCAATATAGACCCAGATGATCACATTATAATCTGAGGTTTGAGGTCCAAAATATCACTTAATCTTATTCTTTAGAACTACTTTGTCTTAAACCAGCTCGCTACAGGTTAAGAATAGTTGGAATTTCAGGTCTTACGTTTGCATTGTTTTTAAAATTTGGAGAAGCACTAAAAGATGCATGTCAATAGGTCTAACAAGTTGGGAATGGAGTTGATGAATGAGGCTGTGTTGGGAATGAACTACAGTTGGAGGCAAGTGATATTCTGGAGATGGAAAATAAGGAGGTCTTGCAACTTCTTTCTCTGCCTTTAAAACCTTAACTCTTTGAACTAAATCCTTTAGTCAACATCCTCAACCCTCACCTTCCCATCCTGGCACTCTTCATGGAAAGAGATTATATAAAAGTAAGCTATCGTAATGATTTTCTGTAACTCTTGACATTTTTGGGACAGTGAGCTTGGTCTTGCCCCAGCATTTTAGTATATTTCCATCTTTCTGTAAAACCTATACATTCCTCCCTCAGCCACATACTGCATATTTCCTTATAGCTTTGAGTTGTAAGAAGTGCAACAGTCAGGCAGCAAGTCTACTACTTGCACTAAATCAAGAAAAACAACTGGCACTCGAAGAGGTGCAATCACTCACCTTCACATATCTTCTTCTGCATTGCTTCTTTAATTTTATCAATAGTTCTATAATCCTCGGCGAAAAATACGTAAGTGGAAGAAGGTTTGTTACCAATAGCCCTGAGCTCCGATTCAGTTATTTCAGATCCAACTCCAACAGCGAATATCACAACCTTTTCAGCACGTGCTTCAACGGAGGCATCGACAACATCGTCCTGCGATTTCCCGTCCGTAACAACAATGGCAATTTTGTTTTTTGCTGCTTTGGATCTTTCTGAAGATGGGAAAACGGTTTCTGTTGCAAACTTAATAGCTCGGCCCGTTTGGGTGTTTCCACCAAGGTATTTAATGTTCCCTATTGCGGATGTTACTTCTTCATTCGTCATGAGTTGACCAAATGGAATCTCTAAACGTGGTCTATCACTGTACTGGATAACAGCTACCTGGGTGTACTCTGGTCCAACGTCAAATCCACTGGTGACATTAATCAGCCAGGATTTGGCCGTTTCAAAATTGTTGAATCCCACACTCCAGGAGCCGTCCATGATGAACACCAAGTCATTCACTGCTGTCCTGCATCCTGTCGAGAGAGTAAAAAATGATTGGACTTTATTTGAATGCACAAAATCATTAAATAAATAAATGGGTGAATATTGAAGAATAAATGTCTCAAGGGTCATTTCAATATTGGAGATTTTTTTTCTCCAGAAGCAGTTCAGCAAAACTTATCGCCTATGTAGGATTTAAAAAATGCGAATGCTGGTCAATGTTCAACAGTAAGACATTTACCCCGTGTCCCTGGAGACTAAAACCCTGCAGATGTTTTAATGAACAAGTAACCCAAAAAACATGTAACACATGCCTTCTTCGTCAGGCTGGATGGCATTGTGTGGAAAAGATAATGATCATTAGAATAAGGAAAAGGTAGAGCCCTACAATGTTCTAAAACACACTCAGCAAAATTCATAGATTATGAAAACTATAGCTTAGAGAAAACTAACTTCTGTGGTGGGTATGCTTTTTTGAACAAACCAACATATTTTTCTAAGAATATTGGAGACTTTTTTGTATCCACCAGAAAAATGGGCTTTTCACACACGAAGACTTACACTTGTTACTCCTTGGGAAGAAGCATAGAAACTTAGCCAGAGACATATTTACGTTACTCTCTTTGTGTCTGCCCTTTGGAAATGTAATATCATAAGGCTACAGTAAAGTTTCAAAACATCTCCAAAGTAATTTTTGTATTTTTCTTACCTGCTGAGCATCGTTACATTTTAGAATAACTCTTTTTTGTGACTCACTTTGCAATAGTGCCAAACTAGGTGCTACATTAAATGCAAATATTTATTATTTATGAATATATCAATTACAGGTTGTTAAAACTTAATCATACCTTTTAATTGTGTGAATTCACTTAGTACAAATGCTAAACCATATATAAATAATACACGCATACAGTACTTACCCGCTCTTATTTCACCATCTGGCTCAGCAGGAAATATCAAATGTGATGATAAAAGCATCAATAAAACTCTTAATATACATGGCTTCATTGTACGTTAAGGAACTTGTTAACTGTTACTCCTGTAAAGCAAATGAAAAAAACCTTTTATAAGTATTTTACAGATCCCCAGCTCTCAACTCAAGAACCTGAGGTGAGTTAGCTTTCTTTTTGAGAAACAAGCAAAGATCCCAGTCAAATTGCTATAGCAAATGCTGTGGCTCCCAAACTAATTTTTGTAACATAAATCAAAAAATTGGTGGAAAATTCTACTCTTTGTATATTTTTAAGTTCAAGTCATGCACTTTGGAAAAGGACAACTGAGATACTGAAGCACAAAGATGGACACTAAAGAGTTTGCAGTTTCAAAAGTCTGTGAAGTTATGTGGCTAAACTTACTATAAATGCCTAACTTGTTTCTGGAATACCTCCAATATCATCAGATGGTTAACACATTTGCAGGATGTATCCTTGCAGCAATAAAGAAATTTCTTGGGGATCATTTAACTTTGTGATTCTTTGTGAAAGTTACTACATATTAAAATGAAAGTTTAAATTCAAATAATTCGTTTTAAAAGTACATTAATAATAGTTCACAAGTCTCAAAGAAAAACAGAAAATATACTTTTTTTTCTACGGAATACAGAATAAAACGAAGACTGCTGATAAAGCAGGTGATGGGGAGAAATTTCTAGTTTCTCTAACAATGACCATCTGCTTCCTTCCCTTCAGCCAATTCAACTTTAGTCATATGTAAACATTATTAAAAATTCTGAGTCTATGTCTTGCCTTTGATACCCACTGATCTCAGTTAAAGGTAGAGTAGATTATACATCATGTGTGAAGATGCAAGTTTGATGGGCTGAATATAATAATTATAATAATGACCATTCTTTAGTCCATGCTTTATGTTTTTTTTGTATCATACAATGGAAAAACAAATGTTTCCAGCATGGATTAATAATTCAATAATGTACCACTTATTAAACTTTCTAGCAATGTATCCTAGGGCTAACAATTTCATGTTTTATTTGTTTCATATTCACAGGTCAGTAATCTCTAACATGCCACATTCTTTACAGGTTGTCAGATCTCTATAGTCACCAACACATGATAAAATGTCATCACACAATGACCAAGAATACACAGAGGAACTCTTGCATCTATGATGTAACATGATCTTTTCTAAAATTCCTTTCTTTAATCATTTATTTCTCTTGCCTTCTCATCTCTTGCATTTTATTTTTGGTTTTGTTTCATTTCATAATCATACTTGTTAGCTGCTCTTCCAGCAATCATCCATAGATCCACACTGCACCTTACTAAGCCAGTCTGGAATCTTGGCATCTTGTTTGATCTTCAACTATCCTCTCTGCCTTCCCCCACCACTGCAACATCGCCGGCTCCGCCACTGTCTCACACCGCAGGCAACCAAATCCCTCATACATGCATTCATTAGATCAAGGCTCGACTATGCAAACTCCTTGCTTGTCAACCTCCCCAACTCCTCCCTCCATAGGCTGCAGATCATCCAGAACACTGCAGCCCGTGTCCTCTCCCGCACTAGGGTCCGTGACCTTATCACCCCCAACCTAGCCTGACTCCACTGACTTCCCATCACATGGAGGATACAGTTCAAGATCCTGATCCTCACCTTCAAAGCCCTCCATGGACTTACTCCCTCCCTACCTCTGCAGCCTCCTAACCTCCTACCAACCTGCCCGCTCCCACCGCTCAGTGGGCTACAGCCTGCTTCACATTCCCCACCTTGCTCACCTCACGATTGGCAGGCGAGCCTTCTGCCACTCTCCCGACGTGAAAGGTGCTATACAAATGTAATTTTGTTGTTGTTGTATCTCATATGTGCATGAATTAAAATTGCCCACAAAACACAGTCATTCCACTTTACAGTAAATCCAGTGAAGCAATTTGAGACATCCTTCTGATGTGATCTGACAGTAAAGTATCTTAGACTAACTCTTAAATCATGCAAATGAAGCAGAACCTAACCCATTTCTTCTTTGAAACAAAGTGGGGGGAGGGGGTTGCAACAAATACAATTTCACATACATTACTGTATTGCATTGTCTTTTTTTACAAAGGCAGAATTTGTGGTGTATGTACCTTCCCACAAACAAACCACATACATTAACAATCAGCATTTTAGCACCACCTGATTTCATACATCTGTGTTATTGGGATTATTTTATTTATTAAACTAGAGGAATATCATAGCTTTAACATACACAATTTTGACACAATACAGTATCTAGACCAAATGAAGAGCAGCCCTGATTGAACCCAAAATACTTTGTTTTGGCATGGTTCAACAAGATACAGTATCAATTCCAGTGTTGTGCATTGTCTGATTTAATGCATTTAACAAACGTGCTGTGCATAAAATTATGGGCAATCCACCCAAGATCAGTGTACATCCTTATTATTGTAGACTGATACTCCAGATGCATTATTGGGGGAAACACTACATTGAGGTGTGGTCCTTCTTAACCCAAAGACCCATCAACCTGTCAAGTGGACATTAAAGATCCCATGGCACTATTCGTAAAGAGAAGGGAGTGTCTATAATAATAATAATCCTTACATTTGGTTTCAGCCCTTTTATGTCAGGCGATGTCCGAAAGCACTCCACAGGATATACTGTTAAATGCAGTCACTGTGTATTTTGTAGGCAAATGCAGCAGCCAATTTGACCACTGCAAAGTTCCGCAAGCAACCATGAAGTAAAACGATCAATTTTATTTGGGGAATTGTTGGTTTAGACATCAGAAGAAACTCCCTTCTCTTTTCACAAGCAAAGGTGTACGTAATCTGTGCATTTATTAACTCACTGTTTGTCAGACATGAGACACCAAGCCTCCTCTAAGACCTTTGAGATGTCCTGTGTGTCCAAATGTTGAACGTAACAAGGTGAAGATTTACTACCTTTAGGTGACTGAATATCAGTTACTGCCCACCTGAACTAAATAATGGCTGTGGGAGTTTGGCCACAAGTCACTGGCCCAGTTGCCACGATCAATGCCAGGTAAACAGCTCCCTCAGAACAATGTCTCATAAACAGCCATAAAGTGAATGACCAATTTTATTGAACTACAAGTGGAATGAGTTGGAGAGGAGACTCGACTTTCAATTAATTCATCATTTCAAGGTTAGGTAGCAATAATTGAAAGCTCCATTGAATTCATTTTTAACTGTAGAACAACTTTAGCATATCCATTTATCATTCCCATAATAATGTCATTTTCATAGCAATTTAGTGACACATAAAACCTAGTAATTTGCTTCTTTTCTCCTCACCTGAAAAAGCTTATGCCAAGGGAATGTAAGAAAGAACACAGTTTGACATTGTCAACTAATTACACAGCAAAAATATTCTACACTCAACCCTATCAACTTTACTTTTGGGACAAAATTGTGATCTGACCACTCATCTTCATTTCTACCACATTGGACAATTTAATGTATTTATTCCTCCCCTTTGTATTAACCCTGCAAGAGTGACAAATGGAAATGAACTGTTCCACCTCAGAGGAGGGAACATTTGGGCTCCAAGACTTGCCCTAATTATGAATGACTCAAAAAGAGTTTGGAATAATAATAATCATGACATTTCGCCCACAAAATACACAGTCAATTCACTTTACAGTAAATTCTGCAAAGCACTTTGAGATGTCTCAAACACGTGATAAGGTGCTATATCAGATGCCAAAATTATTATTATTTGATATAGCAGCTTATCACATCATTGAAATGTCTGAAAGCACTTCACAGGATTTACTGTAAAGTGTAGTGATTGTATAGTTTGTAGGCAAATGAGGCAGTCAATTTGCACACAATAGTGTTCCACAAACTGCTGTACAATTGCATCAGGTAGATTGTTGTCCAGAATACTGGAAGAAATTCCCTTCTCTTTTCAAATAGTGCCATGGTACCTTCAAATCCATCTGAACTGCCACAATTGGTTTAATGATTAAATCATCATTAATTTATTTACAGGCTAATGTTAAGGCTGAAGAAGGTTATTAAGAATCTTCTCCAAAACTACTAGCAGAGGCTAAAGATTCCCAACAGTTTCTGAATTATGACAGTCATTTTGTTATAATGATGGATCTTCAACTTTCCATGTTTTAACATTTCAGTTTTATATGTGATAAAAATATTGATACTGCAGAAATAAGATGTCCTAACATCATTTGCTTTACTTCAAACTTTAAGTGAAATTCATTGCAATCCCAAATCTCCAGTTATTGTTAAGTATCTGATGTGATTGTGTTTTTTGGATCTCTGATACTTTACAACAACAACAACAAGATTACATTTGTATAGTGCCTTTCACGTCAGGAGGACGTCCCAAGGCACTGAACAGAGTACAGCATTTCAGACCCGAGCTGGGTTGGGGGAGTAAGGGAGGGGAGGGGAAGGGGGGTGGCCGATGGCATGGTCGAAGAGGAGGGTCTTGAGACGGAACTTGAAGGAGGCTAAGGAGGGGGCGAGGCAGAGTGACTGGGGGAGGGAATTCCAGAGATTGGGGGCAAAGTGGCTGAAGGCTCTCCCGCCAATGGTGGGGCGGGTGGGTCGGGGGACATGAAGCAGGCCAGAGTCGGCTGAGCGGAGGGAACGGGCGGTTGGTAGGGGCTTAGAAGGTCACAGAGGTAGGGTGGGGCGAGGCCATGGATGGCTTTGTACGTGAGGACCAAAATCTTGAACTGGATCCTCTGAAGGATAGGGAGCCAATGGAGTCAGGCGAGAGTGGGGGAGAGGGGGTCGTGGAGTTTGGTGTGGGAGAGGACACGGGCTGCAGTGTTCTGGATTATCTGCAGCCTGTGGAGGGAGGAATTGGGAAGGCCGACAAGCAGTGAGTTTGCATAGTCAAGCCTGGAGGTGATGAAGGCATGAACAAGAGTTTCAGCGGCCTGAGGGGTGAGGTAATGGCGGAGTCGGGCAATGTTACGGAGGTGAAGGAAGGCAGAGCGGGTCATGGCTTGAATGTGGGGAAGAAAAGACAATTGAGGGTCGAACAAGACACCGAGGTGC